CAAAAATGGAGGCCAGCGGGCGTGAGAGAACCCCTGCCAACTCTCTAAGTACTCTCGGGTGTAACCCGTCAGGGCCTGGCGCCTTTGTACTGTCCAATGCCCTGAGGAGCCCCTAGACTTCAAGGGGGGTAACTCTAATCTGTGCCCCTAAGTCCCTAGCCTCATCTAGTCTCCTATGCGGATATCCCCCGTCCGGCTTTAGGGAGAACACAGAGGCAAAATAGTCATTTAGCATATGTGCCTGGTCCCTCATATCAGTCACTGGATCTCCTTCCTCCTTATTTAGTGGTCCCATCACTTGTCTCCCCTTCCTCTTCCTATTTACATGCTGAACGAAGCCCTTTTTGTTGCTCTTGATATTCTTGGCAAGTCTCAGCTCATAATCAGCCTTAGCCTTGCGAAGAATCCTTCTGCAACGGGCCTCCTCCTCCCGGTATACCCTTTTGTCTATTCGCCCCAGTACCCATTTCCTACAGAGGCTCCTCTTTCGTCTAATCCCTTTAACCACCTCCTTTCGCATTCATGGTGGCACTCTCCTCCGCCTCCTCACCTTACCGACTAGAGGTATCGTCAAGGCTTGCACCTCCAAAACCTCCCTTTTGAGTGTTATCCACCCCTCCTCAACTTGCTTACCTTCCAGTAACCTATCCCAGGAGACTTTCCCCAGTCTGGCCTTCAATTGGCCAAAGTTGGCCCTCTTGAAGTCCCAGCTTCTAGTACTTGACCTGCTGCACGTCCCCAGTCCCCTGATCTCAAAGCAAAGGATGGAGTGATCACTCGCATCCAGAGCTCCCCTAATCTGTACTTCATCTATCAGCTCCTCCCTATTGGTCAAGACCAAGTCAAGGAATATTCCCCCCCCCCTCGTCGCCTCTCGGACCCTCTGTGTGAAAAACCCTCCCTCTATTGCTTCTAGGAAGCGATGTGACCTGGCTTTCACCGCCGAGTGAGTCTCCCAAGTAATATCCGGGAGACTGAAATCTCCCATAATTACTGTGTCTCTCCCCTGAGATATCCTTAGAATCTGGTCTGTCAGGACATCATCCAGGGTCTCAAGTTGACCTGGAGGGCGATAACATACCCCCACTGTCAGGTCTCTTTCCCTTTCAAAACCCCTAAGTTTCACCCAGACTGCCTCTACTGAATCCCCATCTGTGCTGCATTCTATCTCACTGCATCCTATCCCTTCCCTGATGTATAAAGCCACGCCCCCACCTCTCTTTCCCTTCCTGTCCTTTCTAAAAATGTGATACCCTTCTATGTTCACATTCCAGACTTGCCCTTCATCCCACCAAGTTTCTGTGATTCCCACCAGATCATACCCTCCTATTCCCAGGAGAGCTTCAAGCTCTTCCTGCTTATTACCCATGCTCCTGGCATTGGTGTACATGCAACTCAACTCCTTCCCACCACTTCCTTTCCTTGGAGTTCCCAGCCTCCTCCTTCCTCCCATCCTCCCTGATACCTGGCCCCTCTCTGTAGGAGTCCTGTCAGTCCCTGCAATACCTCTAAAACCCTGCTCCCAGAGCCCTGATCCTCTCCCCACACTTGCCCAGTACAGACCCATTACTGGGGAGCCTGAACACCCCCCCCCCCGGCTCAGTTTAAAGTCTTCTGGACAAATCTCGCTAGAGCATCTCCAAAGGACCTTTTCCCCATCCTCGTGAGGTGTAACCTGTCCCTTGCCAGAAGTCCATTGGCAAGAAAACGAGTGCCATGGTCGAGGAACCCGAAGCGTTCCTTTTGGCACCACACCCTAAGCTAATGCATTCCTGAGAGTAGTAGATAGTGATTTCATTAAGAACTGCATGGTTATAAGTAACAGAGGGAATGTGCCGATAAGGTATATTGTTTTAGTTGGGTCAGTTTATCTGCATCTACAATCATTAGGCACATTGAAGAAGTAGAAGAGCTGCATATTGCAGTGACTGTCAAGGTAAACGTTTCATTTTTTTCCCCCTTTTATTTTCCAGAGAGATAGATTCCAGGTTCAGAATTACAAAAGAATTTTCTGCACTGCAGAAACATGAAAGGCACTACAACTGCAGAAACCATATTCTTGAAGGTGTATGAATCAGTAGAAAATCTTGATCTGAGTTGGAATAAACTGAAAAGCATAACAACTGATGCTACAAGAAATATGACAGAAAATAAAACTGGTTTAGGTACAAGAATCAATTGAAGAGATATTGAAATTAAACATGCAATTTCACTACATCATCTATCAGAAAGCCTTGTGTGGTAATTCTTCAGTAGGAAAGTGTGATGTGTATTGTTGTATCCAACATTAATTACATCAGGTATTGTGGCCCTTTTCATTGTCAGTTTCAAAATTTTCTCTCAGAGGTAGATGCAGAATAGGGAGATGTACCATGTAGAAGCCAGGTGGCTTAGCAGAGCCAAAGTACTCAAACAGTTTTTTCAGTCTTTGTCATGAAGCTGACTTTTCCTTTCTCCTTGAGAGAGACATCAAGTAGTACTTTCTGACCCTGGATGGATTTTTGATTTGGCTTTCTTAAAAGGATATCACAGAGCATCTAAACACATTGACCTTAAGGTTGCAGGGAAAAAGAAAGCTTCTGTGTGACATGTATTCTGAACTGAAAGCTTTTGAAGCGAAACTAAACATTTTTGTGAAGCAAAGTAAAGTAACTTTTCAAACTTCTCATACTGTAATGAACTAAAATTTGAGAAGGACAGGAATTTACAATTCAGTGTTGAAAAACACACCAAAATCACTTAACCTCTGGCAGATGGAACTGAAGAAGAGATTCACTGATTCCCATAAGCATGGAAAGGAAATAAAAATATTTCAGAATCCATTTGAAGTAGCACAAGAATATGGAAGTAACTTTTTTCAGATGGAATTAATTTGATTTGCAAAACATCAATAATCTCAGATACATTTTATGAAGAAAATAGTCTATTTAATTTCTATTGTGGTCTATCTGGTGTCAACCTAAAGAAATCTGCTTCAGATATGTTCACAGTATTTCACACTGCATACCACTACCAACAAACTTTTTGCAAAATGGAAATTGTGACATTCAAGTGTAGGCCAAGACTTAAGAGATGAACATTTACATGACATTTTAAGGGTGTCTGTCACAAACCTTGACTTGGCTAATGGAAAAAAGCCACAAAAATCACACTGACTAGGCAAGCATGTATAGCTAGATAAAAGGATTCCACAGTAAAATATTGTTCCAAAATGGACTGCATTCAAGTTAACATTTCTTCACTGACCTCTGAATGTTTACTTTTGATCTAAAATGGTAGGTTGATAATTTTGTTACATTTTTATTTAAGATGTGGCCCTCTTTAGGCATTGGGCACTCTAATGTGGCCCCCATGTCCCAGAAGGTTGGCAACCACTGCTGTAGTATGTTGGGAATATCCTATTCTATTAGGATATTCCCTAATAGAATGTTATGTTGTTATGTTAGTTGCAAAGTCGTGTCCAACCCATCAGGACCCCATGGACAACATTCCTCCAGGCTCTCCTGTCCTCCACCATCCCCTGGAGTCCACTAAGCTCTCAACGACTGCTTAAGTGACTCCATCTAGCCACCTCATTCTCTGCCATCCCTTCTTCTTTTGTTGTCAATTGTTCCCAGCATTAGGGTCTTCTCCAGTGAGTCCTTCCTTCTCGTTAGGTGGTCAAAGTATTTGAGTTTCATCCAGTATCTGGCCTTCTAAAGAGCAGTCAGGGTTGATCTCTAAGACTGACTGGTTTGAGCTTCTTGAAGTCCAAGGGACTCGCAGGAGTCTTGTCCAGCACCACAATTCAAAGGCCTCAACTCTTCAGCGCTCAGCCTTCCTTATGGTCCAACTTTCACAGTCATACATTGCAACTGAGAAAACCATGGCCTTGACTATACAAACTTTTGTCAGCAGGGTGATGTCTCTGCTTTTAAGTATGCTGTCCAGATTTGCCATAGCTTTCCTCCCAAGGAACAAGTGTCTTTTAATTTCTTGGCTGCAGTCACTGTCTGTGATCTTGGAGCCCAGGAGTCCCTATTCCATATCCTATATCTAATAGAATATATCCTATCTGACTATACTTCAGGTATCTGGGGGCCTAAACTACTCATTAAATTAAACATGCTTTTAAACAAGCATGCTAATTTCCTCCTTCTCCTAGCACCAGGACAGGAGAGACTGGACCACAGTGCTATGGCATCCCCAGATAAATCACAAACCAAGTTTTCTGGTTAACCACAATTTTCACTGGCCTAGAAAGGGCAGCAATCTCATTCTCTCACCCAGACTCTTAACCTGGGTGTTACAGTGATCCTGCTCAAGAAGAGGCCAAGCAAGAAGAGACAGCCATTCCTCACGTCTTTTTCCTGGTAGCAAACACTGGGCAAGTAATTGTTGCTGCAGCCTTTAATCGCTCACTTGCCTCTCCCTCTGGAAGGCTCTACCTGCTCCCTTTGACTCATGAAAGACAAGTGAGCGAGAGACACCGGTAAGAGGCGGCTGCTTCTAGAGTGAGCGAGAGGGCATCAGAGGCATCCTTCTTCTGCTTACATGTTCCCCCACAACTCTTCCAACAGCAAAGGGTACAACTATTGGTGGCAGGGTCAGGGGCTTCTTGGCTATACGCACAGCTCGCTCTTCCCCAGTTTCTCGCAGGGGACGGAATAAAAAGATTTTTGTTGCTTGTTCAAGCACATTCGCTGCCTTCCTTCCCAGGGAAAAGCCACCAGAAGCTATACGCCCCAGCTTAGAACTGTCCCGTGGCCTTGGGCCGCCCAACAACCCTACAGTGGCTACTCTCCCAAAGGCTCAGCTTCCAAGCCTTCCTGCCCCCTCCCCGATCTCTTTCCCTTTTCACTCACCGGCTCCCCTCAAGGAACCCTCCCGCACCTTCACTCGAGCGGTCTCCATAGGGGACGGCGCTGCGACTTGCGCGCCTCCCAGTTACCCAGGCAACCGACCTCCCAGCCCAGCCAAGGAAGAAGCAACCGGAAGCGAGCGAGCGACGCGGCGACGGCGCCACCGCGATGCCTCTCGTAGGAGAGGCGGAAGCTTTCCTCCAACGAGCTACTCGGGAGAGACTGGAGAAGTTCGCCCGGCTGAGAGGTGGAGTTGAGCTGCTCTGCGGCGCAGCGACGGGGCTTGGCTGGCTTGGGATTGTGGCCACTGGTCAACTGTTCACTGCCCAGGATTTTTGTTTGGGGGAGGGGAGGGCAGGCTGGAGAGCTTTTCCGCGGCCTTGCGGCTGTTAATGTGACGAACTCTGAACTGTCAGAAACCCCACGGGTGTCTCATCTCCAAGGCACCGTCGCATTATCCCAACAAGCAGGGAAGATTGGGGAATGCTTTAAAGGTGCCCTACTATGTATGTTGTAGAGGAGTCCTATGATTCCTAGCATGCTGGAGTGCTGGCTAGGGCTTGCCGAGAACTGCAGGACTTTACCCCCCACACACACACCCCCAACACACACACACACACAATCGAAACATGCATAATATTGCGCCCTTAAAGTGTCCGTCCCTCGATACCTCGAACCTATCCCGATTTCGACAAGCAACACTAGCCATGTTTGTGTGGAATGGAGCGTGCACATTACTAGTCAGATAAACCTGTTTGTTCCTTTGCTGCGCCTTCACATTTCCACGCCCCTGGGAAAAACCTAGGCTGGATCTAAGTTCGAAATGTGCGGGGGAAGGACTTGTACGTTTGTTTGCTATCCAAGCAGCAGTGCAACTCGTAGAGAGAAACTCTGCAGAAAAAAATGCGATGGAGTAAGAGTACTTCCGAGTATAGAGCGTGCTTAGTCCCTCTCCGCCATTATAAGTCTCTATTGTCCAGGCGTCTCGATAGCAGCCGCGAGAATGAACCACGGATTCGGTGGGGAAAACCCCTTTCGTCTTGAACCTCAGCAGTTTATTGAAAGATCACTCAGGCACTCTGCAGAGAAACCCATATTTACAATAGCACTATCGGATAGATGCCAGACCATCTCTACAAGCTTCCAGATCATATACAGTGTTTTATAGGTTCTGAGTCACATGTTATGGCAACTGGTCAGGTGATCACAAAATAAGGGGAACACAGTGAAAAGAATGTGAGAGCTCTGCAGAAGAAACTTAATACAATAGTGTTGATTACAAGAGATTAACATAATGATCACTGAGGCACAAGGATTATTGTGGGTCTTGGCATGTAATTGAGGATGATTGCAATAATGCTAGAAAAACTTATCTGGCCTCCTTATCAGTTTTGTTTGCTGTTAGCCCGAGAATATCCAGGGATTAATTTCCCTTGGGAGCCACTTTCTGCAAAGGCTTTTCCAACCAAAGGTAGTATCCATCTCTTAAAGGAAGAGCTTTATAAATAATGCTAAACAGAAGCCTGCCTTGAATTCTGGTACTTTCTGAGAAACAGGCACGGAGATGTTGCAAGTTTGATTTTACAGCACAAAGGCACAAACAATCAACCTTTTTTCCCTAACACTGTTCAAGGAGTACTGTAAAATTGAAAGACAGGAGTTAGGAGAGGCAGTTGCAGTGAGCAACTGGAAATGCTTCTAGCTGAAGAGAGATGATAATCTAGTTTCCAATCATCTTGCTTGACTGGAATCTTGCTTGATTTCCCCACTGGAAAATCACCCTCCCATATCTGACTTGGCAAATAGATAACTTACTGGAGAAACTGCAATTATTTCTTCATCTAAAAAGGCTTCACTTTCTAAGGACATCTTGCTTGCAGGGTCCTCTTAACAGAAAATGTAGCTATACACTCAGTGCAAATGTTTCTAACAGTATCCTATATGAAGAAAATCGAAGTGTGTTCAAGGAAACAAATTCCTAGACTGTTGCCTAGTTGTGTCAGTAATGTCACAAAGAAATGTAGGATTACAGAACCGTTTTTCTCTTACTTATGCTAGAGCACAGAACATAAGCAAGCAAGATGCCCAGAGTCTCAATAATTTTGTTCACAATTTTTCTCCTATTTATTAGGATGAGGTAGGAGACATTCATACACATTCTTGTAGATGTCCAATGAAGACAGAGTCTGGGTTTAGCCAACACAATATTCCATACTCAAGGCTTGACTGTGGCTTGAGTGTGGTTTGTTATACCCATAGCTAACAAACTATGACTTGTTAACCACACATAATCCATGAAGAGAAACTATAGCTAGTTTTTGGGTCATGACCCTCATCATGGTTTGCTACCTTGGGTGGATTCCGGCAACATGATAACCCGTTTTTCAACAATTTAATGCCAACCCATACTCAACCCTTGTCTGAACCATATTAGCTTCTGACAGCCATTATATACTGACACTCTTCGGGTTACAAGCAAATTCTGTTCCTGATAAAATCTTTAAGTTGAATTTGTTACTAAGTTGAATCACATATATATGACTTGTATTGAGCATGAGTAAGCCAAATGTTGGTATACATATATATTTATGTATGCATGTATATATTTTCTATGCATATAAAACACTTAAAGAAACACTTCCATGGGGCATACTGTGAAAGTGGAAAAACCACAAATATCTCTACACCGCCCCCCCCCCAACCTTAATTCTTAATATTGTTGAATATACATGTACTCAATTGCTTCTCTCTTTCTCAGACCTTGGTCTTATCCAGCAGGGCCTCTCCTCTTCATTTATTGCATCTGTATGTTCCTATTCCCTGGTCTCCCTTTCACTGACCAGTCCCCGCTTTTTGCAGCAAGGAAATACTGGAAAGATTTCTCTCTGGATGAGCAGGGAAAGAAGGCATGCTTTGGGGGCCTCCCTCTCTCCCCTTTTGCTTTCTCTCTCTATGGTGGTAATGATTTTCCACAGTAGGCCACAAAACTTTTTTTAAATCCGATTTAATTATTGATGGCAAACTCACAAATACTCAAATCCATGAAAGTCAAAGTTTGCTTGTATACTAAAACATCTTAAACATAATAGAGTACTGTGATACAAGTTACAGAAGACAACACTAATTGCACATGACATGTAACACAGCAATGAACAATCAACACCATGGAACATTTTCATGAGCAAACAAACTAGTTCTGGTTTTCATTACTATGTACCATTTGGCTTTAACTCAAGTTTTTAAATTAATAGGTTTTATGACAGTTTTTTCATAAGTACAGATGTTCGTAACTAAGATACTTGTAACCCAGAGACTTGCTGCATAATGCTGAGATAAAGAGCATTGGTCCTCCAGATATTGGGGGAATGGATCTCCATCAGCTCTGGCCAGTAAAGCCATTGGTGAGGGATGATGGAAGCTGAAATCCAACAACATTTGGAAGACCACACATCCCCCATCCCTGATTTATAGTATGGTTTTTTTATCTCATCATGTTTCTACAAGTTCTCTGCATCTGTATTGCTGTTAGTAAAAAGTGAATGCATTTTTCTTACTATGGTATCAAATCATTAAAGCATGTTAGTAATGAAACATATACTAATATTTTACTAAATCGATGTAGAGGAGTAAGCAAATAGCTCCACATATACCATTGAGGAACATGAGGCTGTAACAGTGATAAAGTTCAGCAAGTCTAAGTATGACCAAAGGTTAGAGAAAACCTGGAAAATCCATGTCAATTGTTCTAAGCATCCAAAAAGAGGAGTAAATGCATGTCTTCTGTCTTCATCGCATCCTGAACACACTATAAATAAGTTTTTCAGTCTTGTAGTCTCTGGAAGAGCATCCCAGTCATGTCTCCTTGCTACAGTGTGGATGTCCTCTTTTTCTGGTATTTAGGGCAGACGGAAGCAAACTACAAAATCTTCCTGTTTGCCCCTGATAAACACTGGGCAGAAGGGAATAGAAACCAGAACAAAAAGAACTAGCATAGACACAATAAACATTACTCCTCTCAGACAAGGACCTAGATCTACTTTGAGTCACCAGGGTTCGTTCTTCTTCAGAAGAAAGGAAAAGGCTGAAGGTGGGAGAGTGTTTTCAGTCTTGTCTTGCCTTTTGAGGTAGCTGTGGAAGGAAGCACTTTGGGTTTCTAAACAGACTTTTAGCTATTTTTTTTAGGTTTCAGTCTTTGCTCTCGCATTAGTAGACAAATGAACCCTCTCCTGATATCTCTTCCCAAATCCCTTATCTATACAAAAGCCTGCAGCTTTAGTTTTGTAATCAGCAGGTGCTTGATTTTAACCAGTCAAGTTTTCCTTAGACTGAACTTCAGCTATTTTAAATGACAAATTTGCATGAATCTTTATTTTTTAAAAAATCTGCTTGTACCATCCTTGCCAACTCCACTTTAACTCACTTAATAATTATTATTAAGAAATAATTCTGACCAAGTTAATATGATGAAACCAAATACTTTCACAGTCCCAGCAATAGCACAAAAATAGTTTACCCTTGTACCATCTTACTCCTTTCTGTCGCACATTCTTTTCATTCACAGTCATCCTAACCAGGGCAAATCTTGATATTACAGCAACCAGAAGTAGCCACGTGTCCCCCACCCCTGTCCAAACTTTCCCATCCCAATCACCAAAGCAAATGTGGGGTAGGGAGACATTCTAAGAAACTGCTATGTGGTACTTGCAATAAAATTGAAACCCTGTCTCTAGAGCACACCAGGAAGTAGGCAGAAACTTTCAACCAAAGTTTCCTGCAGTGCTCTATGAATGTTTCCTGCATATGGCATGAAACTGCCAGTTTTTAATTCTCTTCTTTCTAGTACCCTTGTTTATTTCAGTGGTGACAGATATTGGGGGGTTTCACACAGGGCTTGGGGTGTCTTCCCATGAATCACAGTTTTTGTACCTGCTCTGTGAAGAAGGTGAGACTCGCTGGAGATGGCAATCACGATAGGGAAAGTCAAAGGCAGAAGATGAAAGGGAAGACTAAATATGAAATAGCTTAAACCCATAAAAGAACCACAGGCTTGAATCTGGAAGAGCTGAATGGAGCCGTCATGTACAGGACATTTGTGTGTGTGTGTGTGTGGGGGGGGGGGGGTTCATTCATAGGGTCACCATAAGAAAAATATGATGGCATATAATGCGCACACTATGGTCTTAGATAGTTTGGTAATTTAAAGCATTTTGGCACTCTTGAGGTTACATTTCTTGTAATAAAATGTCTTATGTTCAAACAGGTAAAGCAGCACAGATTGGAAAATTCTGGGATGTTGTTGTAATAACAGCAGTTGACAAAAACCAAGAAATAGCTTACCAGCAACAACTGTCAGAAAAACTGAAAAGAAAGGAACTCCCTCTTGCTGTTGATTATCATGTTTTTGTTGATCCACCTGGACCAAAAATAGGTAGGTTCTTATGGTGTTCCTTGTTAATATTATAACTTGACAGAGAAGTTATATGTGACAAAAGAAAAAAAAAGCACAATCCTAGCTGAAATAAGGATTTACCTATTGAAATATTTAGGACTCAAAATTTGTCTGAATTCTGTCTGCAAGTCTCAAACTTTTCAGTCATTTGGTTACCAAAAACCAACCAGTTTGTGGTTTACATACTCAGTATAATTTGATTAAATTTCAGACAGATAAAAAAAGTTCTCCTTCTGGTGCATGTTATGACAGATGTATCTTTTCACTGAAAGATTTCCATTATAAGCTGAAACACATTGATTAAACCCCTCAAAATGTTCAAATACTATTATTATGCTTCTTTTGATTCAAATGTGTAATTCCCATCATTATGAATTAGTTGAATGTTCTTTTCGATAGCAAAAGTTGAATAGATTCCTTAAAGTTTATCCTAGTTTAGCTATTGTGCCTGATGCATTCTCACCAGATTTTATGAGGTCCGTGATTTTGAAGTTCTTTTGTGTTTCTTACGAAGCAATTGTAATCAAGTACCTATCTACTTGAAGGTAAGCACCATTAAATTAAATGAGAATGGATCTGAGATTTTATTGGACTTGATTACATTGGTCTACAAGGAGAAACCCCTTCATGGATCACTGCCTTGTTGTGGCAAAGGGGCTTGTGTAGCTCAGTGAAGCTATGAGCTATGCTCCGCAGGGGATCCCAAAATGGACAGGTCATAGCAGAGAGTTCTGACAAAAGCTGAACCACTGGAGAAGGAAGTGGCAACCCACTCCAGTACCCTTGCCATGAAAACCCCATGGACAGTACCAAAAGGCAAAGAGATAATCACGCTGGAAGATGAGCTCCTCAGGTCGGAAGGTGTCCAGTATGCTACTGGGGAAGAGCAGAGGGCTACTACTAGTAGCACCAGAAAGAATGAAGCGACTGGGTCAAAGCCGAAAGGACACTCAGTTGCTGAAGTATCTGGTGGTGAAAGGAAAGTCCAATGCTGTAAAGATCTATACTCCATAAGAACCTGGAATGTAAGATCCATGAATCAAGGTAAGCTGGACGTGGTCAAATAAGAGATGACAAGACTGAACATTGACATCTTAGGAATCAGTGAACTAAAATGGACAGGAATGGGTGAATTTATTTCAGATGACCATCAGGTATACTACTGTGGGCAAGAATCCCCCAGAAGAAATGGAGTAGCCTTCTTAGTCAATAAAAGAGTAGGAAAAGCAGTACTGGGATACATTCTCCAAAATGATAGAATGATCTCAGTTCGAACCCAAGGCAAACCATTCAATATCACAACAGTCCAAGTCTGTGCCCCAACCACTGATGCTGGAGAGGCTGAAGTTGACCTTCAGGTTTATGGAGACCTGCAACACCTTCTAGAATTAACACCAAAAAAAATTGATGTCGTAATGATCATGGGGGATTGGAATGCTAAAGTAGGAAGCCAAAAGATAACCAGAATAACAGGCAAGTTTGGCCTTGGAGTACAAAATGAAGCAGGGCAAAGGCCAGAAGAATTTTGTCAAGAGAACATGCTGGTTATAGCAAACAATCTTTTCCAATAACCCAAGAGACGACTCTATACATGGGACATTACCAGATAGTCAACCCAGAAATCAGATTAATTTATGTGCTCTGCAGTCAAAGATGGAGAAGCTCTATACAGTCAGTAAAAACAAGACCAGGAGCTTAACATCCCTGATAACCACAATGGGGTGGTCACTGACCTCAAGCCAGACATCCTGGAATGTGAAGTCAAATGGGCCTTAGGAAGTCTTAGCAACAACAAAGCTAGTGGAGGAGACAGTATTCCAGCTGAGCTATTCAAAATTCTAAAAGATAATAGAGTTAAAGTGCTACACTCAATATGCCAGCAAATTTGGAAAACTCAACAGAGGTCACAGGATTGGAAAAGGTCAGTTTACACTCCTGTTCCAAAGAAGGGCAATGCCAAAGAATGTTCGAACTACCACACCATTGCACTCATTTCACATGCTAGCAAAATTACGCTCAAAATCCTACAAGCTAGGCTCCAGCAATATGTGGACCGAGAACTACCATAAGTACAGGCAGGGTTTTGAAGAGGCAGAGGAACTAGAGATCAAATTGCCAACATATGCTGGATGATGGAGAAAGCTAGAGAGTTCCAGAAAAACATCTACTTCTGCTTCATTGACTATGCTAAAGCTTGTGATTGTGTGGATCACAACAAATTATGGCAAGTTTTTAAAGAGATGGGAGTACCAGACCATCTTATTTGTATCTTGAGAAACCTGTATGCGGGTCAAGAAGCAACAGTGAGAACTGGACATGGAACCACTGATTGGTTCAAAATTGGGAAAGGAGTTCGGCAAGGCTGTATACTGTCGCCCTGCCTATTTAACTTATATGCAGAGCACATCATGAGAAAGGCGGGGCTAGATGAATCACAAGTTGGAATTAAGATTGCTGGGAGAAATATCAACAACCTCAGATATGCCAATGATACCACTCTAATGGCAGAAAGTGAAGAGGAACTAAAAGCTTCTTGATGCGGGTGAAAGAGGAGAGCGCAAAAGTTGGCTTGAAACTCAACATTAAGAAAACTAAGATCATAGCCTTCCGTCCTATCACTTCCTGGCAAACAGATGGGGAAGAAATGGAGGTAGTGACAGATTTTATTCTCTTGTGCTCCAAGATCACCGCAGATAGTGACTGCAGCCAAGAAATTAAAAGACGCTTGCTCCTTGGGAAGAAAGCTATGGCAAATCTAGACAGCATACTTAAAAGCAGAGACACCACCCTGCGGACGAAAGTGTGTATAGACAAGGCCATGGATTTCCCATTTGCAATGTATGGCTGTGAAAGCTGGACCCTAAGGAAGGCTGAGCACCAAAGAATTGAGGCCTTTGAATTGTGGTGCTGGAGAAGACTCCTGTGAGTCCCTTGGACTGCAAGGCGATCAATCCAGTCAGTCCTAAAGGAGATCAACCCTGACTGCTCTTTAGAAGGTCAGATACTGAAGATGAAACTCAAATACTTTGGCCACCGAATGAGAAGGTAGGACTCACTGGAATAGACCCTAATGCTAGGAACAGTTGACAGCAAATGACGAAGGGGACAGCAGAGAATAAGGTGGCTAGATGGAGTCAGTGAAGCAGTCATTGTGAGCTTAGGTGGACACCAGGGGATGATAAAGGACAGGAAGGCCTGGAGGAGTGTTGTCCATGGGGTTTTGATGGGTCGAACGCAACCTCGCAACTAACAGCAACAACAAGGAGAAAATCTTGGAAATGAAAGTAACTAAATTTTTACCAGAATTGGGTCAGTTATAAAGGAAATTTAAGTGCTATGTACTAATTGGCTCCAGTTTCCAAGATACAACTTAAGGTCAAAATTACATCAAAATAATTCAAAATTATGAGGGGGATGTGCAATTATGCTGCATAACTTTTCTTCAAAATATGATAGAGCTATGAGAATTGTGTCACACCAATCATTTTAAATTTTCATGCTTTTTATATGAAAAACTGGATCAGCTGCATTCTGCTTATCATCTTGGTCAGCATCTTGAGTGTAGAAAATAGGATTCTGGTGGATCTGGAATTGGCAAGTCACCACCATGGGGTATAGAATGCAGTGTTTTGATATTCCAGTGTTCACTTCTTCTTTCTTGAGATCCCTTTTGCAACTGGGGGAACCATGCAGAAACAGCCACTACTGTGATTGGTAGGTTCACTCCACACCATTGGGACTGCAAAAGGCATGGACTTTTTCTTCTTGTTTAGCCAATGATGCAAATAAGTTGCACATGTAGTGCAACAATAATGAGGGACTCAACTCTTGTCCTGATCCCTATTTTGCACCCAAAATATAGGTGGTATGCCTTTTTTACAACTGCCGTCATACTGCACTTTTGAAATGCAAATGTAACCTCACCACAAATGTAACACAAGTTATCTGCATTGTTTACACAGTTTTGAGGCATCTCGGCTTCCAAGGGAAAATACCACACAACTGTTCCTTGGAAATGTTAGTCAATGACTCTTTCACAATCTACCAGATGTAACTGTATGATGCATAGATCAGACCAAAACAAATATACCCTGCAATAAAAGAAAAATAAATACAGTTATGTAATAATCTTTAGTCTCAAAGTGAAGATAAATTTATACACTTCCATGTGGTACCATTTTCATTATTCTACCATACTTTGTTGAGAAGTTATGAGGCATCATGATCATCAGATGCCTCCCTCCCTTGTAGGCAAATATACTCGCCTTTGTATAAATCTTTATTGTGAAATATCTTGAAAACTTTAGCCAAACAGCACCTTTATCACCTGTTTTCTAATTCAGCTAATCAAAATATGTAAGAATTAGCACATTTTATCTCAGAGATCGATAATTTCCCAAAATTTGTAGACCAGTGTTAACTAGTGACTCTGCTACACCAATCATGGAGCTGCTGTTTGAATATTAGCCCTATGATCAGTTTCACATCTGGTTTGAATCCCTAAGAAATAAGAATTCAAATGTGTTAACAACATCACTGTGGTATTTTCAAACCACTCTAATTTCAAAGTTTTTCTTTGAAAAATGTCAAAACATTTCTCAATGAGTTCTAATTTTACAGAAAAGAGTACTGCACACTGCAGTGAATCATTCAGATCTTGAGAAGATTGTTGTTCTTCACATTTCTTTCATGACTTGAAAAATAGCTGACTTTTACATGGCTGACATTTGATTTTAGAACTGAGTGAGAAAGAAGTCACAACCTTGTGAGTCCACATGCGAGAAACCAAGGCCTATCCTGGCCAACTGTGGATGAGTAAACAACCCATGGGTGCTGGGACTCACGATTTCAGCCATAAAAATTGTTGTGTCCTTTTTTGAAATATGTTGTATGGTTATTGTATTCTTATGTAAATGTTGTATGGTGTAAAATGATGTAAAACATCTTGTACCATTGGTCTGATGATGAAATTGATCTGTAAAGGTACATATTTGAATTAACTGCCATGAAAAGAAGTTGCCTTTGTATCAATAGACTATATAGGTCTAAAATCAGACTGATGTATCAACAAGAGCAGTGCTTTAGAAGAAAGTTTCCCTTATATGAAACTTTATTTTATTTAAGCACATTTGCATCCTATTGTTCTCTCCAAGACCTCATGAGTGCTCCCATTTTAACCTCACCATAACTCTGAAGTCAGTTATGCTGAGATAATTATTGGTCCAGGTTCAACTGATAACCTTCATGTGTTTGTGAGGATTTGAACTAGCCTTGTTTCCAAAAGTAATACATTTCTCATCAACATATCTCCAGAGAGCCTAAGCCTTGTGCTGCAAATATGTAAACTGAATTTCCATGGCATATTAATCATCTCTTGCTGTTATTCTTTCTAAATTGAAGTATGTGTTGAAATGTTTTGTAGGAAATGGCGGATCAACACTTCACGTCCTTCAGTGCTTAGAAGAGCATTATGGTGACAAATGGGATACTCTTACTGTCATGTTAATTCATTCTGGTAATCTTTTCCTTAAAATTACCTGGTCATGTTATATAGGCTTTTTTATAGTGAAGGTAAATTGGATTTTTCTCTTCTCTAAAATTAAACCTAAATTGGGTTGGTTTATTTGGGTCAAATTTTCCCTAGGATCAGAAGCTGGAAAGCGAATTAAGATTGTACTAAAACATCCTTGCCATATATGGAAAGAATGGACATAGAACGATCAGTATCAATATCCATTAAAATCTCATTGAGTGTATAGTTCACCTGACATTAGAGAGGACATTGTATAACTTATTTATGATGCATAATACTGTGAGCTCCTTGGAGCATAATGAGTTTACAATGCACCAGAAAGTAATGTTCACTATGTTAGACTGTCTATGTGATGACATAATATGCATAGCAACATCCACTTTAATATGGGCTTGCCTTGGATCAGAATATATGGTAAAATGTGCATATTGCTAGGAACCCTTTTCACATATTGAATATCATGAAGGCCATGTAAAGTATAAATGTTTAATTCAAGGAGTTAGTTATAGTTAAACAAGTAAGGGTATAATTCTCTGGCTACTGGACACTGGTTAGATGACTTTAGGAAAAGTAGGCATCCTAGTGCTGACCTCAGAAAAGTGCTTCAGATATTCCAATTCAATATTGGAATTCTGACTTTACTGAGTTCTTTCTCTGCCTTCACAATCACTTCTTTCCATGCTGGTTATGGCTCTGAAGTTGAAAAAGTGACTTTAGAGCTGGTGCTTTATGTGTGTTTGAGCAGGCGTTCCATGAAGCCACAAGAGAAGGAGCAAGGCACCACTATCCTATGAGGAATCGTAGTGACAGCTCCAGCCCCTCTCTTTGCAAGCCTGTCTAAAACACTTCGACATCTCAAGTTGGACATATTAGGTATTTTGGAGAATGAAGAATGGAGACAATCTTCAACTCCATGCCCCTTCCAGCATTTTGGGGTGCCTATAATTTGGATGATGCTATAAGCACATTGCCACTTACTCTCTGAGCAACATGCCTGAGTTTCTGATCATGACATAGGCTTGGAGTATCAGAAAAAAGTTATTAACACCCCATTTTTTCTATCATTTTCTCCCTGTGTTCCTAAGTAGTGGTACATATATTAAAATGTATTTTTTTAGACAGCTCTTATTTAAGCCATAAATTTGGTACTACAAGGTGTAGTACCTTGTGTGAGTGTGTATGATAACACTATCTTAAAGCATGCATTGTGTTACAGTTTCTAAAAGAAAGATTTAGACATGACTGATAAGTAAAAATTCTAGCAAATTCTTAATCTATATAGGTTGAGGTGGCAATTTAAATAGGGAATATCAAGATTGAATCTATGTTTTATTAAACATGGACTGAGATCTTGGGAATAGGATGTGCTATAAATCTAAATAAATTCCCACTATATCTCATGGCTTTCTGCCACAGATTTCAAAGATTTAATGTTCTAAGTTTTTCAAGGATGTGTTGAAACCTAGCATGGGTGTTTTTTTACAAGAACAATTTATCCAGTAATGTGGACATATGCAGTATTATGTGTATCAGCCCTGACTAAAATCTCTAAACTAAAATCTGTGTTTAATTAGTAACACATGTGCATATTAAACATTCTTTTATTTGTTTTTGTTTTTTGTAAAGGTGGATATAGTCAACGTTTACCAAATGCAAGTGCTCTGGGAAAAATTTTTACTGCTTTGCCTTTTGGGGATCCACTTTACCAAATGCTGGATTTAAAATTGGCAATGTACATCGATTTTCCCTCCCATATGAATCCTGGCGTTTTGATAACTTGTGCAGATGATATTGAACTTTATCATATTGGAGCAACAGAATCCATAAGGTTCGATCAGCCTGGATTTACTGCATTGGCTCATCCTTCCAGTCTGACCATTGGTACAACTCATGGTGTATTTGTATTGGAGCCACTGTTGCATTTATCGGAAACAGGAGAACTTGAATACAGATCTTGTCATCATTTTTTGCACAAGCCTAGCATTGAAATTATGCGTCATTCAGGAGCTGTATATAAAAGAAGTAATTATAAAGCATCACCTTCTGAAGGACTGGCAACTTCAGTAGCGGACTCTGAGTATGTATATACAGATAGCTTATTTTATATACATCACAACACTGCAAAACTCCTGTTGACATTTTATAAACAAATAGGTATGCTTTGCTGTGAAATAGATGCCTATGGTGACTTTCTTCAGGCATTAGGGTCTGGAGCAACACAACACTACATAAAAAATACAGGAAATGTCACAAAGGAAGAATCAAGTCTAATGGAAATAAGGCAGAAGATATTTACTCTTCTAAAAGGATTGCCTCTCAATGTTATAGTCTTAAAAAACTCCAAATTCTATCATATTGGGACTACTCATGAGTGTTTGTTTCACTTCACTTCTGACAGAAAGCTAAAACTGGAAATGAGTTTGCTATCAAATGTTTCCAGCATCTGTCCAAGCATTCCAGAAGGCTTGGGGAAATCAGCATGCATCATTCATAGTATAGTCAGTTCAAAGTCTTCTATTGCACCTGGCTCTTTAGTTGAATATTCTAGACTTGGACCTGACATTTCAGTGGGAACTAACACTATTATCAGTGGCTGTTGTATTAACACTAAAGCAGACATACCACCAGACACTTTTTTAGCTACCCTAAGCGTGAGGATTGATGGGGAACTAATGCATGTGAGCATGGTGTTTGGTATAAATGACAACTTGAAAAAGCATGTGACAAATCTGGCAGATACAGACTTGCTAAGTTTTTTTGGAATCAGGCTTGGACAGTGCTTAGAGCTCTGGGGTCTGAGAGTTTCAGACAAGCTCTTTTCTGGTGACAAGATGGGTTTATGGACAGTTCGGATCTTCCCTGTTTGTTCCGTTTTAAGTGATTCAGTGGAACTGTCATTAGGGATTTTGTACTCTGTACAGAACAAGTCACCTTTTACATTGAATTGTTTTAAGCTGTTGTCTGTTGAAGAAATGCTTTGCTCCAAAGACGTAGAAAACATGTTGAAATTCAGGCAGCAACTTTATGAAGAAATCAATCTGCATAAACTGAGAGAGAAATCTGATTTATGAAACTGTTGAAAAGTGGTACATTCTCCCCATTCTTTAATTTGAAGAGGATTGATTGCTTTCATGCTTACAGAAATCCAGAAGCAAGCACTATACACATTTTGTGTGTTTCATTGAAGTAGAAATAATGAAACTGCACTAACAGTGTTATTGTAGCATAACATTATTAATGCAACAATGCAGATAAACTATTCTTTTGATGGAAAAATTAATGAAATATTTCAAATCTATAAAAACACAAAGAGGCAAATTTTCTTTGCTTCCCATTATTATTATTATGTTTTCCATTTTTATTAATTCAAGTGGGGACCAGAATTTATTAATTAGCAGTCTGATTGGAAACCACTTAAAAGTTTTTCAAAGAAGAATGCTACCTCTGGCAACATTTTTCCACTTTTCAGGTTTGTTTTAAGAGGGCAAAACATTTAAACATGTTTTTTACAGCTTTGCTAGTCGAGACATCAGAATGACAGTGAGAATGTTCACAGTACATTCAATATACAATCCCAACTCCATCCACAGACCTATTCAAGGTAGAGGGCAAAGGAAGCAAATAAAGTTAAATGAAGAAATGCTTCCCATCTATTGGTTCAAAGGTTACAGTAATTTTGATTAATCAGAAATGTTTTCTACATGATTATCATACTTTAAGTTTGGGGTCATATTCTCATAATTGTGAACTGTGATAAGTTTAATAAAGGAACGCCTTTTTCCCTATATGCCCTCCCGCCCTCTAAGATCATCAGCAGAGGCCCTCCTCCGGGAACCCTCTTTGAAAGAGGTCAGGAGACAGAGTACTTGGAGAAGAGCTTTCTCCGTGGTGGCGCCCTGACTATGGAATGCACTCCCTAGAGAGGTCCGCCTGGTGCCATCATTATATGCTTTTCAGTGCCAGGTCAAGACCTTTTTATTTGACCAATATTTTAAAGTTAATTAATTTTAATTGTATATTTATTTATTCATTTAATTCATTTAAACCATGTTATTTTATGCTCAGTCGTGGTGTAGCCAATTTATTTGTTTAGGATTGGATATTGCATTTGGGGTTTTATTGTCTGTAAACCACCCAGAGAACCCTTTGGGCTATTGGGGTGGTATATAAATGCAGTCAATCAATCAATAAAATTAGATGTTCTATTTTTATAATAACTTAGATGTTCTATAGAAATATCTACCATATAGTACTAGTTATATCATGAAATTTTGCGTTTGCCTACTTATAGAATGTCTGACTCCACTTGTGTAGTGTTTGCTTATAAGCAGGTTTACTTTGAAGTAAAGCCTTCATAGTTCCATCACGCTTGCTCCACAGGAAGTGTGGATAGAACTACAGCTGTACAGAGCATTCCTACTTACATTTAGGAGTGTAGCTATTGGAAAGAGTGCAATGCTAATGGACAGCTTTTATAAAAATCTAATAAATAAATTTAATCAGAAGTATGTTCCACCAAGGTTGTTATGATTTGCTTCCTAATAAAAATGCTTAGCACTATAGCCTTAGAAAGTAATCCTGTAGACTCTAAACATCCTCTAAGGAGCCATAGGATACTTTGGATTCCCCAATCCAAGGTATGGAAAGAGCACCTGTAACATGTGTATATATCAATATTAGCACCAGAACAATAAATTCCCAGCTTGCAATTAATCTAGCCCAGCCTTCATCTATAGTACCTGGCAAACACAGACAAAAGAACTCACCTCTTACATAAAGGAACAAGCATTAAGGCTATCAAGACACTATCAAGTACCATTCCAACAGTTAGCATAAGATTGGGAAGCTCTTCTTTTTCCAAAAGCCACTTGTTCAGAGAGAAATGGTATAAATAGCAGGGCATTAGAGTGGAGACTCTTTCCTTTCTCCCCTGCAGGTGTTCTAGTCACACAGGCTCTACTGCTGATGGGCAGATAATGCCTTTCCCTACCCTTCTCTTTCTGGTAGTCTCTTTCCTGTTAGGCAAGAAGGTATTTCTCTATGTAGAAACAGTAAGATTGGGTTGTAATGGAAATATTTGCTGTCTGGACCACATGAAGCTAAAGCTTATGCCTGTTCTACATTTTTCTGATGAATAAACATTCCTTTTCCTTTCTAAGTGCTGTGCATATCAGTGTGAATTCAAAACCAAGGACTTATTCTTTCTGATCATGCATGTTAAACCCCAGCAAAAGGTCCCAAACCTTTCAGTGCAAACTGGAGGGCATACACCTCCTCTTGGGGTATAGTATTACCCAAAAGTACATGGCATAACACTCCAACCACACTCTGACCCTCCTTCCCACTTGCAGCTAATGCAGAAAAACTGAGCCATTTCCCTCTGTAGGATTGGGAACTCAACCTCATGGGTGAGAGTTTTCCAGTGAGAAGGGAGGAAAGGAGACTACAATATATCATGTGTCCTCTGTGGCCTGTTTCCCTTCCCCTCTAAAGCACTTCAACTAGATGACCAAAAATGGCCATTTAGGCAAAAATGCAGAGCAGGTTGGTGAAGATCATTTTCACTGTTACTCCCATTCTGCATTGACTTGCTGTCAGCCTCTATGTTTGGTTAAATCATCTCAGTTGGATTGTACCCTTATTCGCTAAACTCTTTGCAGGTTTCAGTTAAGCATTATGGTTGGGAGTCTGGACTTCTGACTTTCTGATGCAGCTGCTTTGTGAACTGCTATGTGTAGTTATTGTATCAACTTTAGAATGTATTTAACTGTCTTGGGTATTTAAGATAATAACAATATCCCAGATGTTTTTAGACTGCAGCTCAACTCAGTTAACATCATTGTTAATTATTGGCCATTCTAGCTAGGCTGATGGAACTTTGAATGCAACAAGATCAGGAAGGCCACAGATTCGCCAACACTGCATTAAGCAAATCACTATTTCTGTTTCACTTCACTTGCACAATGTTCACATTTATTATTTTATTCTTAAACTTCTATGCTAAATGCAACATTAGTGGTTACTGAGATTGGATAAATTTTAATTTACACAAGATAAAACTGAAGGCAAAAATCATTGATCCTAAACAAAGCATACTAAATGGAGGAGGAGGAGCAGGAGGAAGAGACATGGCATTCATATCTTATCTGTCTGTCATTAAGGAGAAACATCGGACCTCAGCTTCCAAACATCCCACCCACCCAAGCCTGAGGCTGACCCGTGCTATGATGCCCTGACCTCAGGGGATGCCAGCCCAGTGTCAATCCCCACTTTACCCACACTGCTCCACACAGCCCAGCAGTCCTGGAAGGCTCCTGCGGGGCCACTGGCCACCTCACACAGGGCTGATTTCACCTACAAGGTGACCATCAAGGCATTCCCTCTCCTGGTCCAGCACTTCAAACCCAACTCCATCATTGTGGAGTTGATGCAGGGTATGCCCCAGAAGGATCAGTCTACTATGGACTAAGGAACTGGGCGGGACCCCTCCCCCCCGGATGAGGGTGGGTCTGGGCTCCCACCGACTCCATGGTGCTGAGCTTTGGAAGTTTTTCCAATCAAGGCCTTGTACTCTGCAGCAAAGCCCATGTGTGTGAATGCACAGATGACCACTTGAAGAACAGTTACAGGTAAGTAACCTGCCTTTTCAGAGAACTAAAACAGTCATATCTGGACTATTGCACTACTGTAATTTGCTGTGCTGTGCTTTAAAGACAACTCAGACACAGAATACAGCCACTTAAGCCCTTGCTGGATATCATATTACATCAATCCTGTATCTGAACCTTTTTTGTGTATTTTTACTGTATTTTAACTATTTTAAATTAATTTTAAATTCTTTTGACGTTGTTTTATGTTATTTATATTGGGTTTTTGTTTGGTTTTTTTGCATTATACATTGTGGCATACATTGTTTCAAACCAGAGAGTTTTGGCTATGGGGCAGTATAGAAAAAATATCAGATAAAAAGGGATGAATATAATTATTTCAAACATATATATGAAATCGCTACTTGAGCAAAGGAATTTTTCATGGGCTCTGTGTATGTGTGTGTGTTTAATCACCTTTGATATAAATGAATGCTGGATAGTACAGTTTCAGCAATGAGTTTTGCACTGTGGCTTTGGCCAACAACTCGATTCCAAAGTGAAAATACTAATCTTATGCAAAGTCTTGGATGAAGCATGACTCCAAGGTGAAACTATTTAGAGATCCTCCAGATAAAGGCAGCCTAAACTAGTCCAAGCATTAACAGAATATTACTTTCAAATCATGAGAATTAGTAGTTCCTCTATACTCCTCACTAGTCAGACCTCACCTGGAATACTGTGTCCAGTTCTGGGCACCAAAATTTAGGAAAGATTCAGGTAAATTAGAAAGGGTCCAGCGGAGGGCAACAAAAATGAACCAGGGTTTGGAAACACTGCCCTAGTAGGAGAGACTGAGAGAACTGGGCATGATACTCCTCTATAGGTACCTCAAAGGCTGTCACAAAGAGGAAGGTCACAATCTCTTCTTGCTAATGCCAGAGTGTAGGACACCGAATAATCAATTCAAGTTGCAACAACCCAGATTCAGCCTGGACATCAGGAAAAGCTTCCTCACTGTCAGAGCAATACAACAGTGGAACCAGCTGCCTAGAGAGGTGGTGGGCTCTCCCACACTAAAAGGTAAAGGTTTCCCCTTGATGTTAAGTCCAGTCATGTCTGACTCTAGGGGGTGGTGTTCATCTCCATTTCCTAGCCGAGGGAGTCAGCTTTTGTGGTCATGTGGCCAGCATGACTAAACAACGAGGTGTGCAGAATGCTGTTACCTTCCCACCAAAGTGATATCTTTTTATCTACTTGGATTTGCATGCTTTCGAACTGCAAGGTTGACAGTAGCTGGGACGGAGGAACAGGAACTCACCCCATTGTGCAGATTCGAACCAGCGACCTTTTGATCTACCAGCCCAGCAACACAGCAGTTTAAACCACTGCGCCACCTGCATTCCATTCTCCCACACTAGAGACATTCAAAAAGAAACTGGAGAGCTATCTAAGAGGATAGTGTAAATTGGTGTCTGCAACAGCAGGGGTTGGACCTGATGGGCTTATGGCCCTTCCAACTCTACTATTCTGGGATTCTATGCTTCTGTATCCAGGCAGAAATCTGTACACCATGCATCTAGTATTGGACCTAGACCTTCTTCCTTCCATGTTCATTAAGTCGTATACATGCCTTTTCTTATATATGAAAAAGAATGAGTATATCTATAGGCATCTCTGTGATGTTTCTCATTGTGATTTATAATGACATAATACAAAATCATATTATTGTATTAAGACTACTTGGCTTGTCCCTTATCTATCTCACTGCCTGGGAGTGGTACAGTAATTTACCAAACTTTCCCAGAAGCCAAATATAGGTACCAATTCCAAGTGAAAGTGCAAATCCTGAAAAACGGTTTGGGGCAACAACTTCCAAGTGAACTAAATCTACCAAATTCACCAAACCACACTTTGTTTGTTTGTTTGTTTAGAGTATTTGTATGTCGTCCTTTCACATAGCCTCAGGACAGCTTACATAAATAAGAGGAATAAAATAAAACATAATACAAATAAAATCCAGATCTACCCTGACTGCAGATTAAAACCTATATAGCTAATATTAAAAGTTATTAAAATATTGTTGAAATAAAAAGGTCTTAGCCTGGTGCCGAAAAACAAATAATGATGGTGCCAGACGGACCCCTCTGGGGAGCGCATTCCATAGGCAGGGCGCCACCACAGAGAAAGCCCTCCTCCAGGTACTTTGCCTCCTAATGTCTTTCATGGAGGGTTC